ATTATTATTATTATTATTATTATGACAACAAAGCAAAATGAAACAAATATAGTAGCACAATAAAACAGGGCTTTGATAGCATCTTACCTGCAAAACAGGGAAATGCTCAATCCATTGACGGTCTCCAGCAGGTTCTTGTTCTTGAAGGGGATGTAGGGCATAGTTCATCCAAACATCAACAAGGCTCATCTGTTCTTTCCACAAGGTAGAGCCAAAAACTTTATCAGCCACCTGAATTGTCAGAAGAGGATACTTATGCAGATTTCTCCCATCCCCTATAAAGCTAATAAATTAAGCATCTAGGATTTTCAAATTACCTCAATTCCTCCATCAAGAAATAAGGCACCCATAAGAGCTTCAAAACAATTTGCCATAGCATGTCTCAACTCTAAATCATGGCATAAATCAGATCCATGAGCATACAGCATGTATGAGTCCAGATTTAAGCGCTGCAAATAAAGTAACAGTAACAATTTACTACAAAGTTAATAAAAAAATACCAAAGCCATAGCATCAATCTGGCCATGTGCTGACCTTGGCCATAACAGCAAGGTGTTGATTTTGAACTATAGCTGCCCTATAAGTTGCCAATCCACCTTCTTCAAGGTCTGGGAAAAGGTGGAAAAGATGTATACTTGTGATGAATTCAACAACAGCGTCACCCAGAAATTCCAATCGTTCATTATGACCAATATTTGACTCTGTAGCTTCCTTTTTACCAAACCTTGACATTATTTGAATAAGAGTATTGATTCCTAATGAATGAATGAAAAAAAATAATTATCTCAAAATTAGAGCAAAAGTAGGGTAAGTGGTTGTTTGGATGATCATTGATTAACTCAGAGCACTTTGGACTAACCTCTTTTGCGAGTATTCATGTAATGAATGCGCCTGTCACCATACTCAGGCTGCCTTATTCCACAATTGGTCAAAGAGTTACGTGCATGATCAGGATTTGTTCCAAAATTTTCTCTAAGAAAAAATTGATTCCAGAATGTTAACACATGCAACTAAAGAAAAATCTAACACACATTTTTAGTTCTTTTACCTGTAGGATGGGTGGGTAAGAGCAAGCTGTAGTAGGTATCTATTTTTAAACTTGTAATCCATATCTTCTTCTAATTGGTCAAGAGACTTGTGAAATCTCAAGTGGCAAACCAAAACAGGCAGCAATAAGGCATGCTGTGAAACAGAGGTGAGTGGTAAGTAATGAAACAAACAAAACAGGCAATAGATTGAATTGAAGCATAAGACATAAGATGTGCACAAAATTATACATTAAGGAAAAAATTGCCACAAAGACTCTAGCTAGGAATGGCCTTATTTTAAGAGTACCTGAATTATATCACACATGATTCCTGTCCTGCAAAATCCTTGACTACTGAGAGCAATAGTAACATCACGTTTCATTTTGCTAACAGTGCGCATTTCTTGAAGCCGATTTTCTTTCCCCATAAGTTTGCGCTTGTCTTCAGCTGATGGCTTTGCCATATTGGCAAGTAGATGACGAAATTTTACATACTCCCTCCATTGTTTCTGGTACCTGATTAAAGAAATTTCATGTGTTGACAACAGAACAGGAATGAAAAATAAGAAAAGATAGATCATTAAGATAACTACAGGGCTATTTCTACATAAATAAGCAGATGCTGAAGTTGCCTGAAAAATTAAACATAGGCACCGCATGCATTAAGAAAGGGTACATGACAAGTTCCCAAAGTTTAAGCAACAGGCTTGAAAGTGTCTGTGGACTTAACTTCAAAAATTGACTTCTACCAACGAGATGAATGATATCAAAGATGTATCACTACCACCTCCAGCTTATAAATGGTTAAGATTTCAAGATGTTCCCTGTACCATACAGAACTCCCCCCACCCCAGGAAAAAAAAGATCAATTAAAAAGTTAGATGACAAAAAAACAGTTTGATATGAGCACTTACATATTCTAATCAAGCTTCTAAACTGAATAACAAATTAACACACAGTTAAGGCTGCTAGACCAGCTTAAGCTCATAACATCCATTCTAATGCTTATATTTCTGTTACATGCTTTCCCTTAGAATAAAATACATGCAAACAACTTTTAATGGACACAGAAACAGAAACTGACACATTGCTTGTAACTAAATCACTTCACAGCAAAAGCAATATCCTAAACATATTCATACAAAGCAGCAAATTACATAATGGAAAATAAAACACATTGTAACAAAAGGAATCTCATTCAAAAACTTAATTTGAGCATATATATATATATATTGAACAGTTTATGATATGACTTTAAGTTTGTTCTTGAAAAAAAAAAAAAGTGAAATTCCTAGGTTCTTTTATCTGATGTAAGATGAAAGGTTTACTATTAGACAATACACTTCTGCAACAAAACAACCTCATCTCACAATCCGTCTGTTCAGCAAAGACAATCGCAACCCTTCACCGCAGATACCACACAGCCACATGTTGTTGCCTGGCCTTGAGCATCAGGACTGAAGACCAAGGCCAAGGCCCAGTTGCAGCAGCATTTCTGTAGTCCAGCACTATGTCAGAGATTTGCTTACATAAAATCTCTGATAAAGGCTATGGACATAGCTGCCAATAGGCCCTGCATGTACTGTTTGATGCATGCCTTCAGTATGTGAATAGGTATTGAGGTGGGACGGCTTTGCAGATGAAATCAGGCATATTGAGGAGAGCACAATCTTAAGACCGAGCCATCAGTAAGAAAAACCACATGGCTCCAGCAGATTTGCCCCAATCAATATCACCTTGAGCTTTAGAAACTACACACTGCCTGAAAACCAAAGACAGAAATGGAAACCATGATGGTCAAACCAGTAACTACAGGAGTCACAACAATGATGCACAAACATTTAATCAAGATTCAATACCCCAAGATCACTTTTCTGAAAAGTGAAACATTCATGTTCATTATGAATTTAAATGCTGAGTAAGAGCATGCACAGCACAAAATTAATAAAGATAAGACAAACAGATGTATATCAATTTGTGTGAGCGTGTGTGTTTTTTGTTTTGTTTTTAAGAGTAGAAAACAATTAAATGTGAAACCAGCAATCAAGGGAAACAGAGGTTGTCTTGAGCTTGCAAATTTTTCAATAACAATGTTCCACAGTATTATTTTGGGGGCAAAATATAAAACCTTGGATTTTTGAGCAGAAAAAGCAGCAAAGAAAGATGGTTTCCCAAATGATACAAAGAAGATAAATGTAAGGGTGGGCTAGGCCCATTGACAGCTTAGATAAGAAAATCAAGCAGCACATATTGGAACTGACATCATTACATACTCATAAAAGGCAACATGCTTTACAACTGAGGAGAGAGAACCTGATCCAAACACCAGTAGAAGAAAGAGCAAGGTAACACATAACATAGCTGCCCTTGAGTTCTACACAATTTCCATTCAGAAAAAACACTTACTCTGCATTGCCGGCATAACTAAGTTGAGGAGGACGAATACCAAAGTGAACTATCTCAGGAAATCGGCCCTCATCCATAGTTTCTCGGTCTAGTTGGTCAACACGCAAAGAACATGGCTTCATACCTGGCTTAGTTACAACCATGCCTACAAAATGAAACAATAAACCAAAAATGAAAACAAAAGACAAAACCAAAAAAAATATTGTCATCTAGAAGAAATTAAACTTGGAGCTTGTACTTACATTTCACTTCATCAGCAAATGTTTGCCAATCATATAAAGACATATTGTAAATTTCATTCAAACGTTCTTCTGGTACAAGGGGCTTATTGCTCTTCAGTAAGTATTTAAGAACTTCATTCATTGACAGTATTTCCTTGCCATTCTCTAAAAAAAATATTACATAAAACACCAAACTGATTTAGAGGGAAAAGATAAATCATTCATGATATGATACAGGTCATATATACCAGGTAGATCTCGGACAAATCTTGGCATGAAATGAAATTGATTACAACCAGCAGGATCCTCAAAAGCTCTCAAATCTAAATCAAGTAGCTCCAACACTTCATGAAAAAGGTAGTTATCTGTAAAATAATAATAATAATACGTAATACATAAGAATATAGCTCATTTGGATCACTTGTGAAGTTAAAGTAACTTACTGAACAAATCCAGTTCCTTAATTGTGAAGTTTTCAGGCATTGATTCGTCTACATACAAGATTGTGTACTCTATGTTGAACCTTATTACTTTACATGTTGGAAGTTTCACAAGAGGGAAGTGTGACAACATAGAGAATCCTTCAAAAATGTACTCATGGGAATCATGTTCAATTATTGTAGGAGTTTTGGTCTGAAAGAAACAGAAAATAAAAAACAGTCAATTTAACACTATTTTCCAAAGATACTCATCAATTTCCAATTAACTTAATGCAATAAAAGAGCATTTACCAAAAAATTCACAGGAGGTGACATGGTTATACGATAATGGTACAGTTTTCCTGCATTGTTGGTATTTATGTTACATTTCTCAAGTTTTTGTTCACCGACATAAACATTGTGCCTGATTCCTGAACGACGAGCACGATGACTACAGCGACATAAAGGCCCATCATTCATCTAAAATTGAAAAATTGTTGTTCTCAGACCAGAGATAAAGGGAGGGACACAATTAGGAAACTAATCCAGTTAACATTTGGATGAAGATAAAATATGAAAATTAAGAACGCTGTGATGAACTTTGTACCTCTCCTGTTTCATTGTGCCATAGTTCAGGGTGAAGTCTTTGGGGATGCTTCTTTTTTCTCTCCAGTTCAATCATAGCCTTATCTTCTTCATCTGATGAACTATCTTCACAGCTACTAGATGATGACGAATTATCTTCTTCTAAAAAATTTAATTTGCCAAAATATGTTAAAGCTATTAAAAACCATTTAAGAGCAATACATATGTTAAGGAAATCACTTCACATACTTGCGTGCCTGCACATTCTAAATTTAGTCCTCCTCGGAGATGGCTGTTGGACTGGAAATGTCTCACGTGCACGCTCTGCCCTCTGAATAAGTTGGAAGTCAAACTGTTCACAAAGCTCCAGCAGCTTAGGTGTTGCCTCCATCAGATTGGGGTGACTGAAAACACAAGGAAACTGTGACTTTTTCTAACATGCACATGCAGACTATGGAGTTGAGGATAGAGTAAGGTTTGTCACTTACTGAGGACTCCTCCTGTAATAAAGATCGGCAGGTGCAGACCGCGTCCAAGTCTGTTTCTCTAGCTCAATAATTTCATCAGCTTCCATTTTAGATAAGACATCCAGTTTATTTGCCATTTCTTCCAAGTTTTTGCAATTATTAAGTCTAAGAGAAATAGAAAATTTAAAATATTTCAAAAAATTAAAAAAGAATTTTATATTTAAGTGGGAAAAAAAGAAAAGAGTTAAAGATGTACCTCCATCGTTCAACCAAAGATTCTCTTTCGGATCTGGACTGCTGCCGTTCCCGTGCAAACAATGACTCCCCATTTTTCCTCGCATCAGGAGATATTTTCTTCTCTTTCCAAACTACAGAATCTATTTTCCTGTTGTCTGCAACCACTTTAGAAGACAAATCAGGACCCTCCATAGAGGCTGGGTCTTCACATTTTAAATCTTGCCTCGTTAATCCATTTAAACTATTGCATTCATCGTTATTTTGCCCAGACAAAGGTGAGCCATTCCTCTGTGGTTCAATTTGATTATCACTTGATTGTTTTGGACTCTCCTGTCTTAACCTTTTGGAAGTTCTAGATGGTGACATCCTGTTGCGCTTGGATGGATCGAGCACTCTGCTGTGTGATTTAGATCTTCTACGATTACCCTGATAGCAAGGGCTAGCTGATCTGGATCTCTTCCTAGAAGAAAAGGTTGATCTAGACTGCTGACGATCACGACTAGAAGATCTTGATCGCCTCTTCACACGGTTGATAGATCGCGATCGCCGCCGATCGCGGTTGGGAGATCTTGACCTCCTTGTTGAATGACTGTTGGACCTAGAGCGTCGGCTTACTCTACTTCCTGATCTAGACCTTCTGGAAATGGTCTTTCTAGACTGTCTTCCATGACTTCGTGACCTGGAACGTCTATTTCGATCAGATAAACACCTTGACTTTTCCCTGATAGGACTTCTGGATCGTGATCTTCTAGCATAATTGTTAGACCTACAGTGCCTTGAGCTTATTCTAGACGAAGAGCGTTTTGGAGATCGTGATCTGGATCTTCTTGAACGAGAAATGGACTCTCTACTAGTTTTTTGGCTCTGTAAGTCATTGTCCTGTTCTTTTGGTAAGGTGGCATCATACCCAGGGGGTGGAAATGGAAATCCTGTTTTCCACTTCAAGGCGTCAAATTGAGGCTGTTTCAGGAGAGGAGGAGGAACACTAAAATTGGGCTGAGGAACTGGAAACAAAGGTGGAGGCACTGACATGGGAGGAAGAAATGGAAGCCCCTGAAAAAAGGGGCTAGGAGTAGGGGCATGATGTAGGAACTGAAAATCAAAAGGACTTGGATAGGCCATTTCCAAAGCAAAGGATTCCTGGATTTGCCTAGAGCTTCCCTGAACAGCCACATAGGAAACAGGAGCAGGTTCTTCATGTGTTCCATTTGCATGGGTAGCAGGGGCAGACTGTGCCTCAGGTGGGGGAGGTGGGCCACTTGGTGGAGGACCTGGAGGAAGTGGAGGTAGTATGGATAAAGGCAAGCCAGGAGGCAGCGGAGGGAGTGGTGGCAGCGGGGGCTGACTTGGTTGGCTTGATGTGTGCATAGTGCAAAGGCACTAAACTGCAGTCAAATGACGATGTAACAAAGAAAATTGAGCAGCTAGTTTGCCAAAAAATTGACCATAATGAAGAGGATGGTTGTTGGGTGTTGGATTCTTCAGCTAGAGATGGATGATAGGACCCTCTCGGCGATAATGGACATGCTGAAATTAAAAATCACAGTGAGACTAAGAAAGTAAAATCAAAGATGATGTTAAAATTAACATTAGTATAACCGGGAGAAATACATAACATGATATTAGAGTCACAGGCCAAAGGTAACTAACCTAAAACGGATTTAAACGGCATTAACGGAGACTCGTTATTCTTACATGTTGATTTCCTACTATTGATAGCAGAGTGCACTTAACAAATGTATCAATAATGCAACATTTTTCCGATGCACAATATCTGTTTGCACCAACACATCCTTAAATTAATTCGAATTAATTTTTAAAAAATCGTCGAACCCTAACCCAACATCCCGATCCCATCAAAATGTGCTGCAAGATGCGGGGAGGGGGGCGGGGGGAGACCGGCCCATCTTAAAAATTATGTTTCACTATTACCAGATTTTTTTGCATCAAATTTAAGAGGGAAATATTTAAAGTCAGCTGTGAAGTAAAAGTAGTTTTTCATTAATGTCTGGTTTTGATGGTTTAGATCGTTTTGTCGTTTTGGTTAGTCAATGTGGTCCCAACTGGTCACAAGCAGCTGCGTCGTCTGATTTGAGGTCTGCCTCGCCTGTCTGCTGTCTGTCTTATTCTGATTTTTCTTCGAAGTAGGAAGTTGGAAGTTCCTCTGCGAAGAAATACTACTTCTTAGGTTACCTTAATAACTTTAATTTATCAAAATGCCTAAATTCCCTGGAACAAGTATTGCTAGCCTGAAACAGAGGAAAGAGGTATGAGTGGTTAATCTATTCTGTTTGTTTCTTAATGTTCTCTCTCAGCATAACCTTGAAGGTCGGAAGGTGTTGTGAACATCGTTTCACAATTCTATTAACCCTTTTCGTTTCTTTATCGTAACTGTCAACTTAAAATATCTTTCGAACTGTTTTGAGACATTTTGAGATATTTTAAACCGCCTACCCTCGCTTTCCTAACGCTCAGATGATGTACGCGGTCTTGTACTGGTTTGGTGTATTAACCCATTTTGATTTGATACCCTACATATATTTGCTGATGTTGAGACTCTTTGAAGAAGTTAATTATTTATCGGTCAAAGCAATGTGTAGAATGGTTCATTCATTTACAAATATTATTTTTTTCCAGTTGATTCCTGTTTGGCTCTGCATTGGTGTTGGATTCCTCTTGTCTGGCGGTTACACCTTAAGATTGGCTCTGAAGAACCCTGATGTTACATGGAACAGGACTAGCAACCCAGAGCCATGGCAAGAATATGAACATAAGAACTACAAGGTAAGACTCCCCCCCTTTTTTTGTGTAATTTGTTATGTATAGGTGGGAATTGGTAATTATATAAGTCAAAATGTCGAAAGAATGAACTCACAGCAGATCTGGGAAACAGTCCCAACAGGGACTGGACCTGCCCTGAAACTTGCCTATAGGTGATATTCGGCGTATTTTTGCCCCCATTTTGTGACCCAAAAATTGAACAAAGTGACTGAGCGCCTCTGGATTTTTTTTTCTATCTAAGTCTCTATAATATAAGACTGTCAACAAAATTTGGTATCTCTTGGGTGTTTCCTGAATTTAAAAAAGTACCCAAACCTAACTAGGACCAAACATGGCGGCCAAAACATGATTGCTGATCACCTATACAGGTCAAAAAATTTTGGTGTTTATCTAGTATCTGTCCGGACTGTTTCCCAGCTCTGTCAGTGCTCAATTTATGATGATGAATTTTTTAGTATGTTATTGATACTTATCAATTTTTATGAATGGTTTAGATACCTTTGATTTGAAGCTTAGTGTTCTATTCTATTTCAACTAATCATTGTCTTCTTTTTATTTTCAAGATCATCAACCCCATCGAAAGGAAGATTGGCACTGATGCTCCTAAGTTTTAATTCCACTGCTGTCTAGAAGATTAATTAGAAAAGTAAAATGCTCATCCACTGGTCGTTGAGGTCTTTTATTCCAATAAGCATCCATCTAATGTTCAGCATTGAATTCCTGTTTCTTTAAAGTTATTGTACATATGGTATGAGCTTGAAAATAAAATTTTAACAATCTTGTGAGTGAAATACATTATGAAAGGATCATTTGGTATGAAAGATAAGCAGAGTTTTGAGGACATGCCTTTATTTTCTTTCTGGTTATAGAATAGCAGTTACATTCTTTAATTCCGAAGAATGGAAACAACCAGAATAGTCTAGGCCATGTGATGAACCTGACACTACTGGCTGAACTGATTCAACAGATGAATCATTGCACCTTTGCTATCAAATAGCCAGTATATTTGCACTGAAAGTAATTAACAGATCAAAAAGGAAATTTGCAAGGTACTGCTATGCCCAAGCAAGTTGAGAAGCTTTTCAAAATAATTGGTGATTATCACAGAAGAACAACCAAAGTAGTGTCAATTCTCACAAAATTTCTGATTAGGATTTGGCAGGTTTCCTTTTTACTTAACATTAGCAACATGAAATATTGATGTCAGATTAAATGTTGGATAATGTTCATACAAATGATATGTCTCATTTAACACCACTGCTTAGGTGGCAGAGACTTCTTACCTAACACTTTCTTTACATAAAATTTACATTTAAGAAAAAACGGAACAATCCTAGACAAGATTATGAAACAAAACATACTGTTGATTTAATTGAAACCATACAAGAGCTTCATTCATCCATCATGTGTAGCCATCAGGAAATTGATACAGAACTGAAAAAAGATGAGAAACCTGCAGCAGTATACAATCTAAACCAACAGACTATTCTCTTGGCTTTCTTTTGCTAGCATCTTCTTTCCCATCACAGTTTTTATTGTCATAATGTACATCAGCTCAGTTTTTGATAAAAACAGACAATTGTGAAATAGACTTCTATTGAACCAGTGATATCTGGACATTGATATTTCAAGGCTACAGCACATAGATACGTGCATCAGCTAAGAAAATTCAGTTTAATAATACTGGTAATAATTCAAACTAGACTAACAAATAATACAATATTGAGAATTGAGTTACACACAAATTAAAGCTTTTGGTTGTGCATCCCAACTTGCCATGTAATGGAAGTGGTAAACCAAGTTACATTGATGCAAGGTTAGATGTTAGGTACAACAGCTCCTCAGGTACAAACAACAAGCGGGCATTGAGCTTGACCTTTTCCCCAAGTATAGATACATAACTTGCTACATCTAAAACATGAACATTTAATGGACAGGCTATTGCACCAATTACCTTCACATTGATCTAAAACACTACTCAGTATGTTGTGTTGATGTGTGAAATGTGAAGCAAAAATTCAATCAAAATGTAAGTTTGCAATTTTAAAAGAACACAACAAAGCAAACAGACAAGGTTCTAGAAATGTAAATTATCAAAATTGTTTTCAAATGTCTCATGTGTGTTGTGTTAACAAGAAAGAGAAAAAAAATCTTGAAGTTTGATGAGATCATAGTATTTCAATGGGGGTACAAGCCCCTTAATGGGGCTGAAAGTGCAGATAACAAATATCACTTGAATGAGGTGTCATAACTAAATGAGTATAGATCATCACAAATGCAGAAGGAATTTTTAGAGGCTTATGCTGGATTTAGTCTCGTGAGGCGAGGCCCGTAATTCTGTCCTCACCTCAGCTGAGGCACGGGCTTCAAAGATTTTGAAGACTGATTGGCTATACAAGCTTGGCAAGCTAATCAGAGCCCACTAAATCCAGCATACAAGCTACAAATTCACCTCACAACAACAGTCATACTTCCAAAGAGTTAAAACAAATCAATTTCAACAATAACACAGAACCACATACAGACTGCAATCAAAACATGGTATAGAGGAAAGAAGATGCTTTTGAAGGATCACCCACAGAAAATATTAGCAACAAAATTTAAAAAGAAACAGCAATATATAGCAACACACCAACAAGCAAAATCCCTTCAACCATTGATGTACTGACATGCACACATATATACTGAATATATATATCTGTAATACACCATACGTAATCAATTGGATACTTCCATTAAATGTCAATAAAAAGATATAATCTTTCCTATTTTGAAACAAACAATTTAAACAAATGAAATCAGTTTCAAATTCATACATCCACTATCTGCAAGGAGTATAGCGTCCTCACAGATGTCTTTCAACAGAAAAACTTCACAAAATATCACCATTTAAAGCTTTAAAAATATTTTTTTCTTAATCTATCAAGTCATGAGGCTGATTTTGAAGCCAATAACAATGCAAGCACATCCAGCGTGCTATTCATTTGCAGAAAATAAAATAGGCCTTTACATGAGCATTTAAGTATAGTCCAGAGCGATGTACTGTTCTTTGTTCTGTTTTTTCTTTGTTCACAAGACACAGAGGGAGCAATATATACTGATAAAACATTAAAATGGACAAACACTCAATACAATGCTAGAGAATGAAGAAAGCTCTCACAAAGGAAAGGCAGAGATCACTTAAAAATGACAGACCAATCAAAACAACTGATATAAAAACTCACAGATGCCAAATTTTGTTAGACTTGACTGTAAACAATAACAGGATACAACATTATACCCAGAACAATCACAATACACTTAACAGACACCAGTCATATTTAGTAAAACAATACCCAGGAACAGTTGCTGCATAATTCTAAAAAGAATGAAATTCAACTTTTATCACCCAAAACTCATGAGACCAAGAATTCCTGTTACTGACTCTCTCTGAAAGCATTGTAAAGTCTCAATTCAACATGGCATATAATGTGGAGCTTTCAACATTTGATCCATATTGCAAAATACAATTATGGTACAACAAATCAACAAGATTACAATTCTTCTTTCAGTCTATGATACTTCTCTAACACTTACAACTTAAGCTTTCTACTTTCTTATCCTCTGATAACAAAACTGCAGATTAAAAACATTAATAAGCATACTAGGTCAGATGGCACAACAGTAGCTTGCTCAAGCTGCAGCCTCAACCTATCTAGCAAGTTAGTAGTTACACATATGACTACACTATACATCAAATCACAAATTTCGTCTCTTAGATGATTCTTGCATTGTAATACAAAAAAGTAGTAAGTATAAGCGTCAAAACTTATACTTTAAGGCCATTCAACCCTCCTACATGTCTTAACAGCCACGAGCAATACACATGCTCATTCTCATAGTAAAATTCCTAACACATATCATTCACCCTGTCTTCAAAATTCATTCACACAATAATCACACAAGTACATCAGTTCAAGTTTCAAAATGTGGAAAAATTAGAAGTATAACTACTTTAGGCAAAGAATTAAAATACACATCACAGAGCTTCATTGGGAGATACCAAGAGGCATTACAAATAATAGTGGTTTATATAGTTTAGTGGAAAAATAAGAGCAAGGAGAAAGAGAAAACCATAAAAAATTAAAAGACAGTAAAAAAGCAAGCCAAATTGGCACTGACACCAAATAATGTGAGAAGATAAGAGAGAGAGAGAGACTTTGTGAATTTTTTTTCTCTGATGGCTTATGCATAGAGTCCAAATCAACACAACAAAAGACTCTCAAAATATATAATTTTATGCCGTGGTATGCCATGGTAACTTACAACACATCAAAGAACAAATAGACTCCACACTACGTTCAGAGATGTTTGTTCATCAGCTAACTACAATGAGAGTTGAAATAGACTACAGGTTATTGAGAGAGTATAAGAATACCCAAGTCAGTAACATACACTCAATAAATACTTTAGAGGGTTTAGTTGAACAGTTAGCCTTTAATTAAATGCACTGCAATCACTTTCAGAGATTTACCATACAAATCATAACAGATAGATAATACACAATTTGTAAAACACTAGATTATAGTGCAATGTGAAAACTCTACAAAAGTTATCCTAGGGGAGCTGGAACACACAGAAAATAATGTTATCTATAAGCAGCTTTCCTAGATACAAACAAATGAAAAGAACATTCACACTGTGGGCATCTAGATTGTATTCAAGGCATATAGAGAAAAGCTCATTAATGTTACTGTAAAATCTTTTCCATACTGAAAAGCTTCCAGGATGTGGATTGAGAGATGACAAACATACCTATAACATACTTGTTAGAGAGGTGTTGGAAATTGATCCACTTATCCAATCATATAAATATTTACAGTTTGGACTGTGTTCTCCGAACGTCATAGACATCTTACAGAGGAACAATTAAATAATACTATATTTTAATGTATGCAAAGACTATATGGACAATCAACACACTATTAACTAAAGGCACAGAAAGCCTAGTAAATTTATAAGAAAAGGGCGAGATAAGAGAAGCAATGATCTAAAACTATCATAGAGAGGCACACATGCAGAAGTAAAAATTATAGATGACTTTGTTCTATTTTGGGAAAATTCTGGAGGGGGTTATTGAGGCCGTTACAGTTTCATAAGATCCAGAGATATATACTGAGTTTGGCACATTCAAACTACAAAGTCAGACAAGGCAAAATTAATTTTTAAATTCTCTACTAACATCTATGCTTTAAGAAAGATGGTTAATATTTTTTGGCATGTCAGTTTAGTAGGCCTTGTACTTTGGCTACAGCATAGTTGATGCTAAGATAATTAACACACATTATAATTACACTGAAAGCCATTATTTATAGAACTAGTTAGGAATAAATAAGCTTTAAGCTGTATTGACCAGATTAACATAAAATACATCTAAAAGGATTAAAATGTCATTTTAACCATGTCGCATATTTTAAAAAAGCATGTCTGGGAATGACAGCTGCAGTTCCCTGGAGAAGCATAGAAATAGCAGTGCGTTCATTCAGTAACTTTTTAAGTCAAACAAATAATATTTGCAGGAGTGGTTTACTTGTTCCAATTTCCTCACACCCGAAAGAAAACAAGACCGGTTGAAATCATCAACTTTTTTCAGCTAATGTGCAAAACAAATTCTCTGAAACAAAGGGAAATCACACTGCATTCTTTGGGCATCTATTTTAACTACCACTGCCCATCCCGTACTTCCAACACAGCATCAAAAAATTAAAAATGTTGATAAGAAATCTTAAATTCTGAGCAAGAAAGAAATGCACATGATCAATGTGCCTCACGTCTGAACAAATTTTAAGAACATGTTATTCACAGAAAGGACAACAAGAGTTTTAGCCACATTAATGTAACAGGGGTCTTATACTTTGTGCCTGTATGGCCCGTTTCAGGAAACTATACAGCGGTAAGAGTAAGACATGTCAACACAATAAAATTCAACAATACGACAATGCTTTAGCAATACGAAAATGGGGTCTGGTGAAACTAGAGTTGCTTAGACATGATCATTGAACAATACACACTCAGGCTGCAAAGTGCAAGAGGCTCAGTCTGAAGTCAAATGAGCAAACATGTATGCTAAAGTACACTTTAATTCTGAAAGGCCATTCTAAACATATTGATGTGAAATCCCTCATTATACCAACTCTTCACCTGTACAATAAATAAGATTAGAATGGCCACTGACCTGAGCATTGTAGAAATGTGACTACCCCAAGACAAAATGTGATTAACTATATACAAATATGTTTTTGTTAAATTTTATCGGCATTTCATTCATGAATAGGGAAAGTAAGATTACCTTGTTTAAACATTCATTAGAAATTAATGTGAAATAAATTATGGGCTATCATGCTCAGCTTTATGCAGAAAAAACATACTTTAACCTCTCCTCTTGGTTCAACAGCAGATTCTTTGAGTTTTGTGAATCTATCATGCAGACCAAATGTTCATAAAACAATAAATATTGAGCAGGTAGTTTAATGCAACTTCACATAGCACGATATGGCCCTTGTAACTTGAGATATTGAATCACAAGGGAAGGTCCCTTACTAACAATATCTGCTGGAATCTGAGAGAGGGGACAGTTTTCAATGCTCATAATCTGAAGACTTGAACACAAAGCTAGCTCAAATGGAAGATTATGCAAATTAGGATTGTCATTAATATAAAGCTGCTCCAATTGTTCCAAGCTTCCTATTTCTTCTGGCAACTGAATTAAATTATTTTCACCTACACTGAGATATGTTAAGTTATTTAAATGGCCAATAGCTCTCGGCAGAACAGTGACTTGATTAGACTGCACAACAAGCTTTTGGAGTTCCCGCAAGTAACCAATTTCATTCGGTAATGTTTCAATTTTATTCTCTTCCAGGTCAAGAACACGAAGTTTGCGTAGATTTCCAATGCTGGGAGGAAGCCGCCTCAACAAGTTGTTTGACAAAATTAGTACTTCCAGGTTGAGTAAATTCTGTATGTCTTCTGGTAACTTTGACAGCTGATTTGTTCCAAGGTTCAATTCTACCATATTCACCCATGTACCCATGTCTAAGGGTAGTGCGGTGAGCTGATTTTCTTTCATGATTAACTTAGTCAGATTTTTGGCCCGGGAAAAGATACCATAAGGAATCTTATCAATTTGATTGTGTTCCAGGTTAATTGACTGGACATTGGTGAATTGAGCTGGTCCTCCAGATGGATAAGCAGTAAAATTATTTCTTGATAGAGTAATGGTTGTTAGCTCTGAAAGACTAGACAATAGGCCTTCAGGAAGAACAGAAATAGCATTGCCTTCAACATTGAATTCATCCATGTGTTTGCAATTACTAAGTGATTGAGGAACTGCATTCAGGCGGTTGTATCTTAGCCCGAGACGTTGCAGTTGGGCAAGTTGTCCAATGCTGTCTGGGATGTCCAGTAATTCATTATGTTGTAAATCCAGAGTTAAGAGTTGAACACAATTGCCAATTTCCTCTGGCAAATGCTCGAGGTGATTATGAGATACGTCAAATGTTACAAGATTGACTAGATTACCAATGCCAGCTGGTAATTCTTTAATTTTATTTTCTCGCAAAGAGAGCATTGTGAGGTTTGTAAGGTGGCAAATTTCATCATTGACCACCTTGATACGATTAAACCTCAGAAATAGCGTAGTCAATGAGAGCAACTTATAGACTACATCGGGGATCTCGTTGAGTTTGTTGTGGCGAAGGTCCAGAACCTTGAGCATCTTGAGATTTGATAAAGATTCAGGAAGACTTGTAAGAGAGTTTTCACTAAGGGCCAGAGTACGCAAATTTGTCAAACTTCCAATTTCTGATGGGAGAGTTGAAAGTTTGTTCCCATACAAATAGAACTCTGTGAGATGAGTCAACTCTCTGACTGTGGGTGGCAGCATAGTAATGTTGGACTTACTAAGATCAAGACGAGTGTCCCCTTCTTCTTTGTTCTTCAGGAACTCTTTACAGCAATCTAGATCAGCCTGCAGTGGTCGACATTTTTTGACAGTTGGTTTGGGGTGTTTGGATTCGGGATGTTTGACAGTAACCACCTTAGGCTTGCCGTCTAGGCCAGCTGTTGAAAGTTTCTTCTCGGTAGATTGTAGGTCCAAAGGAAGCTGAGTCGTAACGTTTGAGACAGTAGCTGTTGACCCTGTAGCCATGGTGGCGATTCCGTTCACTATTGACGAAATTTCGATTTGTTCCTCTTGTTCGCACTGAAATCCCTGATGGTTCAGGCCACCCGTGGAACCCTTGTAGTCTGCCAGTCTTTCTGCGACTACGCTGCTCTCCGCACCTCGGCTCCGACCCGCTTTTCTCATTCTACGCCGTACAGCAATGAGAAACTGGGATAAAACCACACATTTCTCAAACATACACAAGAATTGGGCACGCCGTAACGTAAATTGTCACTGAGAGCGAAAACTAGCAGCTGATAAATCGTGCGACAGCAGCCATGGAACGCGTAGCTAATCGGACCAATCACGAGCCCGGATTCCAAATTCGAAGCTCCCTTAAACTCCACGGAACTCCACTGTACTCCCGAACTCCAACGCGCGCCCCGCCCCACCCGCATCTTTGGAGGGCCCATATACCTGGAAACAATTCTGTGTTTCTGTGACAACACTTTCATAAGTTCACAATTTTCTGCTGAGCACAGTAAAGGCCAGTTAAAGCACTCAGAAGAAATATACCGAGAGAAAAGAAGAAAATTGTACTGCGTTTGACCACAATCGAAAGTCAGTGTTCGAGTGCGAAATCAGTGTTTGCAACAATCCGGTATGTGCTGTGTATGTAAACTGCAGTGAATATGTTGGAACAGATCTGGCCTTAGCCCATGTGTAGGCAAGGTACTAAAATTCTCTTTAGTCCTAAAAATTTACTGCCGTTTTCTCTCATGTTCTTTACCGATTCCTTTGCGTTTGTGAAGTAAGCGCTGCGCTAGAATAGAACGTAAACGTATGGCACCACTGTCTCGTCGATCATCGCCGTCGTGGTTGGAGTAGACGAAACACAAATTCCAGGTTGTTTGGTGGGTTTGGTTTCATATCATTTTGTTTCTGTGTTTTGCGAAGATTAGCAGGTTCCTTTGCAATTTATTGCTGCTCTTTTTGGCTTTGAGAAAGTCTACTCTAGATAATTTTAGATCCTGCTACTTGTCTTTACCTCCTTGCCTATTGTTGTCTATTTGCACCAAAGAATAAAATTGGGGATATTTCACTAAGCAATATAGCTTGTGTGCGTGTGTGTCGCGCGTTAGGTTTCTTCTTTGCTAAGGTGGTGCTTTACGAGGTCCTGTTAAGTCCAGTTCCTGTACTTTTGGCATTTTCAATTTAGATGTAAACATAGCCTCTCATTTTGTAGTAACTCTTTATTCCGCTTTGCCATCTGTTTGAGAAGTTTTCACAACTTAAACTCTGTCAGGGAAAGGCTCAAAGAAAAGTCTTCGGTTGTCTCTCTTATGTAGTCAGCTACACAATTGTCAGCTCATATCAATCAATAATCAATGTCAGGGTTACTCATACATTGTTCATGACTTAAACCCTCTTTTTGCAGATTGATTTTGGAGATATAGAAAATGGCTTCTACGTCAGGATTGCCCCCTGCTGATGTACGTTTGAAAAGGTTTCTTCATTATGGTTCAGAAGCTCCATTGTGTGTACCAGGAGATCGATTATTCCTCAACTGTTTCCTCTTGGAAAAGCTAACTGCTGTGGAGGAAATGTTGGCTAATTGTGCTGCTGACAAGCAAGGAGATGCTGTCAATCACATACTTAAAGTATGTTGTCACCAAATTTGTATATTTTATGGCATTTTAGAAAATGTTTCAGGGGGGAGTCTCTTAGTATGCTCTTTTGAAAGTTTCTAGCGGGCTCATTCTTCTGTACTCTTGGTTGTAGGCATTTATGGATGGATATTCTGGGTACCCAGATTGTCTTATATTTGCTTTAGCAGTATGTGCTACTCAAAGAAGTAGTCAACAGCTATGTCATCAAGCATACATTGCAGTGAAAAAAATTTGCAAAACTCCTAAAGATCTTTTTCTCTTTTGCACCTTTTCAAAGAAGTTATGCACATCAACTGGTATGTCAAGAAAACTATATGTCTCAAAGTTTCTCATTTATATGAGGCTTAAGGCTATTCATAGCATCCTGTATTCCTTTGCTCACCCGACAGGCTATACTGGATTTGGATGGCGGAGAGCTTTGTGCAGCTGGTATCTCAGTAAAGAACCGTTGGAGTTGGCCACCTGTGTTACTCAATACAGAGGGGCTCACGGGTTCACTCACAGAGATCTCTTTAAGTTGTGCCACATAAAGACAGATGACAAAGGTTTGAATGTTAATCATTTCTTTTCCTGTGCAGAGTGCGTTATAAAATTGTGCTTATATTTACTATTTTTACTTTCCCAGCCAAAAGTACCATCATCTGTTATGTCATGAAAGGGCTGGAAGCTGCTAAAATACTGCCTCACAAGGACGATCCTGATGTTCAAAAGGTTCTTTCATACCTTCAGCTTATAGAAGATGTTAAGCATCAGACAGATGCTCAAGCCTGTGCTCGTCTCTTTGAAGCTCATCAACTACCAAAGGAAATGGTGCCAAGTACTCTCTACAAATCGGCCGAAGCAAGTTACCCTCTTTTAATTGTGCCTTTAATATTTTATATGGTTGTTTTGTTTTTTTAAGTCACTAATTGTTTCTTTATGTTTCGTTTTGTTCTTCAGGTTATGATTGCTTTGGTTCCAACTATGCCACTTCGTGATCTTTTAGATTCTATTATTCGCTTAAGTTGTGCTGGACTTCTCAAGACAGGAGAACCCCTTGAAGCACTCATAATTGATCGTCTTGTTGATCAAACTGCTATTGTTGAGTCCCAGCTCCACCCAACTGAAGTGTATTGTTCAATTAAGCAATATGAAAATCATGCCATGTGAGTTGTTGGTAAATTACCTGGTTTTCTAATGGCATCTATCAAACCACTTAACTTTAACTATGCTCTACAGAAATACTCATATTCTGATGGAAAAACTTAGAAAGCAAGGGAAAACAGAAAAACCTTTGAAACCAGCACCAAAACCAAATGCTAAGATAATCTCAGCTTTGAATAAATTGTTGGTCTCGACGTTCAAGGTACATGTTCATAAAATGTCTTGTCATCCTAGTATTCAAGCTAAGTGAATGGTGCGTAAATAATCTTAAAACTGCTTTACTGTAGCTGCTTGTTCCAACTGGAATGAGATATCTTCTGGCCCTGGATTTGTCATCAAACATGCAAACCTGGAAATGTAATGGAGAAAGGGATGTGAAACCAGCTGAGGCAGCAGTGCTTTTGGCATTGTGCCTTCTGAATGCTGAGAGGGAAGTGACGGTTGCTTCATTCCCACCAGTGCTGGGTGCACCACCTGAAGAAGAATTAATTGATCCGGTCAACCCAGTCCTCATGACAGTATCCCGACGTGGGAAAAAGAAACTTGGAGAAACTATTTATCCCCGCAAAACTGAACTTCAGCCTATGGTCCCTTTGCAGTTGGACAAGGAATTATCTGTTCCTGCGAATTTGGAAAAAGCTAAGGAGGTGAGGTCGCAATTGTAAAAAAATTATGATTTGTATAAATGCATGGTGCTGTTTTCAATCATTTTAATACATACTATTTTATATTTATCATTCTCAGCCTCTGCTGGGTCCTGTTGAAGTTTGTCAGCCTATTGTCTGGGCCCAGCAAATCAAAAAACCAGTTGATGTATTCATAGTTATCACAGACTATGTCACTCTACGTAAACGAGAGTTCTTGGAACCATCTGCAGCTTTACAGGAGTACAGACAAGTAATGAACTTGCCAAACACAAAGTAAGATTAAGAAATATCTTAAAACAGTGCATTTATGTCATTATTCATTTTAGAACCACATTGTATTCTATGTATTTTGCCCTGTCCACATTACTGATGACCTATTTGTTTTTCTTTAGGTTTATCACCTGTGCTCTTGTAGCAAATACTCTGGATGTTGCTGCCCACAACGATCTTGGTATGCTTGATATTGTTGGTTTTAATGGAAAAGTGGCACGTATCATCGAGGCCTTCTCCCGTGGAGCTTTTTGATTGGGCCCTTCTAACAAAGGATTTTCAGTGGTCTCAATAGAAATGGTCAACTTCAAATTTGTTGTAATTTAAGTTTAAAGTGGGTTTTAAAAATATTTTAAGTTTTGACTCGCGTAACCTGAACCTGGACTTAAAGCATTTATAGTATTGATTATCATTTTTGATATGCATGTGATGATAGAAGCGAAGGCGAACAGATTTTGTTTTAAAGTCATTTGCACCTTGTGTAAAATGTGCTTAACATCCATCGTAGATTCACTCAATCTTGGAGCATAATGTGTTCACCTTTGGTTCTAGTTTACCTCTTGTTATGAATCTTTTGGAATCTCTCAGATGTGAAGGTGAAATTTAAATTTATTCTCTCAGCATGGTTCAAAACTGAAGGATAGCAAGATAATATTTAAAAGCATTTGAGAAATTTTGAAGTTCAAGTCCAACATTTATATAATGTTACAGATTTGTTTCTTTGGAAAAGGGAATTCTTTTTGGTGGTTTCGTTATTTATTTTCTTTTGTGTATACTTTGAAGGTTGTTCAGCTTAATGTTTTTTAAGCTAAACATAGGTATATATTCTTTTTAGTAATTGATGAATTGCCCCACCCTTAGTGCCAGCAATTGAATGTTGTTCTAGCAGTTACTGTACTGCTAATCTTTTTCTCTTTTTTTTTTTTTTTTATATTTTTGTAAAGTATTTATGGTGTATTTTTCTCTAAGACCAACCAGAATTCCTGAAGTAATAAACATGTTTGTGATTATCATTGTAGTACTAAATAGTGAGCCATAGAACGTGAGTAATTTACATTCTTATTCTTCAAGGTCTGTAGTGGAATTGCTCTGATGGGCTCCACATGAGCGTACAAAGCAAGTTGGCTGTAAAAGTCTGAAACTAAATCCATAATCGCTTTAGAACTTTGTGATATTTTTATAGTCTTATCAAAACACAGCCAAAGCAGTTCAAGTGTGCATTTATCACTTTCTGAACTTCATTAACAATTCAGCTTAGTACACTTGTAGTGCTGTAGGGTACTTTGTTATAGATAATTCACAAGGTCAAGTTCTTTGACTGTAACATTTGCTGTAATTGGTGATTTTTGAGACGATAACCTAATTAATTTCTTTATTTTTTATACAAGGACAAATCATTAGTTAGAAAGTAGGAGAAAAAGCTCTCTTCATCCCCTATTTCCCCCCATTATTACTTGTCTTAAATTCTTGCCTTTTATTGTTTACAAAGTGTTAAATAGGCTTTAGTATGATTGAAATATTGTGATAGAGTTGTAGCTATGGTAAAAAAACAATGTGGAGGCCAAAGTCAGGGTCCTGAAATGCCTTCCAGGCCAATTATTTTGTATTTTAGTTATGGTGACACCCAAGAAGCACTTAAAATCTGAATAAAATGCTCTCTGCTTCAATATGTGCTATTCTATTACATTTTTACCTTGTACCGCAACTTGTTGCTCTTACAGTCTGAACTGCCAAAATTTTGCAACCTACTGCACTTAATCTTCATTTCTCTACTAAGTAAGAAAATTTAGCTCAGTTGTAGAAATGAATATTGGGGACTGTCGGTTTGATACTGCTAGATGATCTTTCTCTTTTTGTATATTAAGATTACATATTATCAATATGTTACTCTCTTCGTAAAATAATTCCTCTCTTATGTTTTAAATTTAGGCGAAACCAAAATAAAAATGTACACCATAACAGAAATTGTGTTATAAATTATTGTGCATTACTCCTTACAGATAAGGGTGTAGGAAGAAAATCCATAGAGAGAAAGTAAAGAGGAAAAATATATTTATTGGCAGCTGTCTTAGATTCTAGATCTGCAAGAGGAGCGCTACGCCCGCGAGCGTCCACTTCGCCGGCTTGTCCTTGCTCTTGAGGTTGAAGGTCCACACGTAGGTGGGACCCCGGGTCCTCGTCTTGTAGACGGGGCACTCGTACATGTTGCGGGGGTCCTGCTTGTCCTGGGTGATGGCCCGGATGTTGATGACGGGCATGGAGGGGAACAGCTCCTTGAGCCGCGAGTCGGCGATGACGCCCGTGGCCACGTCCCAGCGGGCGCCCTCCATGAGCAGCCCGTGGACGTAGGCGCCGTCTCTCGGAGCCATGCTGCGGACAGACGAGGATCGCCGTCGTGAACGATATCGCGCCGACATCGCTTTTGCCTTTCCGACGTCGTCCCTATATCGTTTCGATATCCGGGACTTTGAACAAGCTTCGAAATTTTCGTCGATTGGTGTGTATGGATAAAAAGTGGCACACTCACTTCGGCATCAAATCGACGAAAATTTCGAGGTCATTTCTCTCATTTGATCGTTTGCTCAGCTGACGGTCCTGTGCGCGGTGTCATCCCCGTGACCCCCCGTAAAGCGGTGGCCATCCCCGTGACGCCCCTTGGCGAGTTTTCATCCCCGTGACGTCACTGTCACCTTCTGCGCTAACCCCGTGACTGCTGAAATTTACCCCCATAAAAAAGCGCTCTCCGGATTTGACACACTTTTCAAATCCACCCGTACCTACAAACAGGGACGAATGTTCACGCTGGGCGGACAGACTCACGTGAATTCCTCCTTGTTTTTCTTGGTGACGTCGCACTGGAGGCACATCTTGTCCAGCGGTAGCTCGTTCTTGCGGGCCGTGCTCTGCATGATGGCCGTGAGGAAGGACTGCGGGTTGAAGAAACCCGCCAGCCACACCGAAGGGGGCAACTATGGACAAGCACGCACGCGCCCAGGATTCAATTTGTCTACTCTCAATTATTACAATTATTATCATGATGGAGGGTCGCTTACGACAAAGTCCGTGGCCCAGGTCTCGAGCTCGCGCAGCCGCAGCAGCAGGTCGGCGAACCAGGCGGAGAGACCGAGTAGCGACGGGTAGGCGCGCGCAGTCCAGGTCGCGGGCACCTGGTCCAGGAACAGGGCGCTCTCCAGCTCCTCCATGTCGGACGTGATGGTGAGCTCACCCTTGAGGCCGAGGTCCAGCTCGCGCAGGGAGCGCTTCATCTCCCCCGTCAGCGTGTTGATGCGCTCGCACTCCTGGAAGGCCACGATCACGTAGGGGGTGCGCTCCTCGACCTTGCTCATGATCTCCGGCATGTTGAACTCCTCGGGGAGCTTTTCCAGCATCTCGTCGATCAGCTGCTTCACCTGCGGACGGGACGCGCGGCGTCAGCGGTTGTCCTCCCCCTGCCCCTCAGGACCACCCTGGCCTCACCTTGTCCTCCCGCGTGACGGTGGCGCCGCCCGCCGCGGCCGCGTCACGAGGCTGCATCTCGAACACGGTGCGGAACAGCTTCTCCGAGGTGGTCGTCAAGAAGCCGATCTCGGCGTTGGGGTGGAGGCCGTATAGATAGGGCGACTCGGGAGGCATGGCCTCGTCGATGTAGTTGTGGTAGCCCTGCGGACGAGGACAAGGCCGTGTAACTTGAGGCAGCCTGCTCCCACCCCGAGACGGCACTGGGGCCTGACACGCACCTGGTAGTCCGTGTTGGGCGGCGCCGGGAAGTTCGGGGCCAGCATGAGCTCGCCGTCGACCAGGTCGGCCTGCATGAGCTCCTCCAGGTACGTGATGCACAGCCGCCTGTCCCAGTCGTCAGTGATGTGGCCGCCGTACATGATCTCGCCAAACAGGTAGCGCAGGTCCTCCCACGGCACCTTGCTGTTGGCCTCCAGGTAGTTGTACAGCACCGACACGCTGATGTTGAGGTCTCCGACGTTGAACGGGTACACGCGGTTCCAGCCCTGCGTTGCAGCAAACAAAAAGAGGGTCACATTTTCGTCACCATGGCGCGGAGTCAACGCGCGACGGGACGCAGCTTTGATTGCCCACCTGCGGTCCAAACTTGCGGCGCTCGGCCACCACTGCGTGGAAGTAGCACAGGGAGAAGAGGATGGCCTTGAACTCGGCCTCCTTGGTGCACATCTCGAGCGTCTCCTGCGTGAAGTTGTCGAGCGCCTTGTGGAGGTTCGCCTGCATCCCGGTGGGCGGCTCGTTGGTGATCTTGATGGAGGACTCCAGGATGCCTTGGGGGATGATGTGCGCGGCGGCTGAGGCCGCGGGCTCAGCGGACATGAACACCCTGTAGTTGGGGTGGGACCCCTCGGCGTACGCCTCCAGCTTCTTCTCCAGCGCGGGCAGCCACTTCTTCACCAGGTGGATGTTCTGCACATCAACATCAGGCAAGGCAGCCGTGAACGCAGTCCGTTCCTGTCGCCCACAATGCCGTGGTCCGGGACCTACCTGGAGGACGACCCAGTGGCCTTTGCCCGCCGCGATGTCCATGGCCTCCTCGGCGACCACCTCTTGCCCCTGGCCCAGCGACACGTTGTGGAAGTTGCCGTTGTTTAGCGTGTAGCCCAGCTTGCGGCCGAGGGACTCCACGTCCTTGAGCGGGTTCACTCCGGGCGACAGGATGAAGAAGATGGGGGTGGACGGGCTCGTCTCCTCGAAGGAGCGCGCGAACTCCACCGCGCGGCCCTCCACGTACTTGGAGCCCAGCTTCTCCTCAATGAACGCGCTGGAAGTGGCAATCGTGTGGGTCGAATACAGTTGGGGTAAACCGGCTCAACAAAAATAGCCCGACACGTGAACACGGCGAAAAAGCGACGTGATCTTGACTGGGTTGTGGTACTTACGCGACGGCGTACATCATGCGGTCCGGGCGAAGCGCACGCATCATGCACAGCCTCTGCAGGGGGGTCTTGTTCTTCCACTCCTGGGGGAACTTCTCCCGCTCGGGACACTCCGACTCCACCAGCTTTTTCCAGCGCTTCGGCGAGGTCTCGATGTCCCGATCAAAATTACTTTGAAAATACATTGATGGAATTGCATTTAGTAGTCGGCTGATCGAACTCGCAAAGTCACCGCTGGTGTGGATTTCGTCGCCCGCTTACCGGAACTCGTCCTTGCTGCTGAGCGAGCGGACGCCGCCCCAGGACGAGTTGGACAGGAAGTCGACGGGGGAGGTGACGTGCGGCGTAATGGGGAACCGGAGCAGGAAGTCGAGCTCCGGCGGCTGGATCTCCTCGCTGGCCAGGAGGATCTGCGCAACCAGACACGGACAAAATAAGGGCGATTTGTTTTTGTCCATATACCAAAGAGAGAGGCGCAAAGTTCATGCAAACTGCCTGACCTGGAACGTCATCTGCGACGCGAAGATGAGCTTGTCGCACTCGAACAGCCCCCGGGACGTGTACATGAACACGAAGTACGTGATGCAGTCGATGAGGTTGAGCACGCGCGTCTCCACCACGTCCGACGGCACCGCCTTGTCGATGGCGTTCTGGAAGACGACGCTGAAGGCCTTGAGCGAGAACTGGTAGATGGGGTTGATGGTGTTGAGCTCGTTGAGGATGAAGTAGAGCAGCGAGGCGCGCGCCGCGGCCGGCCGGTAGTGCTCGCGGGCCTCGTCGATCTTGGCCGAGGTGATCTTGGCCTCGGCTACTTTCTGCTCGATCTCGGCCGCCGTGCGCTTGGTGGTCTCGAGGTTCTCGACGAGCGCCGAGTCCCCGAGGATGTTGCCTGAGGGAAGAGAGGTGCACCGTCAGGACAGCACGTACAAGGGGAGGGAATTCCCTAAGAGACTTTTACCACGTTCTTTCCACTCACCGCCGGCAGAGGACAACCTGGAGAGGAGATCATCCTCGAGCGTCTTCAGCATGATCTTGAAGTCGTTCTGCTGCTTGGTGAGGTCGGCCTGAAACAGATTGACACGGTCACGATGGAGAGCTCTGCGACATCGGGTCGCGCTGAGGCCGCGCCTACCTTACCTTGAGCTCCTCCAGGTCGGGGCGCTCGGCCTTGACGACCTCGGCGAGCAGCTGGTCCTCGAGGCCGTCCCGGGTCACGGTGAAGTTGATGAGCGTGGTCTGCGCCTGCATCTCGGGCTTGTAGTGGGGGTTGGCCAGCTTGGTGTGCAGGATGAGGCGGAACGCGTCGTTGTACTCGACCTCCTTGTCGCCCATCTTGATGGCCTTGCCCTTCTTGATGAGGTTGCGGCCGAGCAGCGGGTCGAGCACCGGGTCCACGCTCTCGCCGATGTTCTCGATGAGCACGGTGGCGCCGCGGGTGACGCACAACTCCAGGTTCTCCATGGCGCCGCGCTGGCCGAGGCGCACCACCTGCAGCAGGTCGCCGTACTTCTGCTTGATCCACTTGACGCCCTGCAGCTGCGGGTCGATCATGAGCGGCCACCGGTCCGAGTTGGACAGGATGGTGGCGTTCTCGGTGGACATGCGGTCGCTGGGCAGGCCCTCGTTGTTCCAGCGCGCCACCTGCGCGTCGTCCGTGAGCAGCGTGAGCGGGTCCAGGCCCTCCGTCGTGGGCACGGCCGGCTCCAGGACGCGCTGGAACGGCAGCCACATCTTGTTGACCAGGTCCAGGCGGTACTGCTTGGTGAAGCAGCCCACGTACGAGATGAAGGCCGTGACCAGGAGCACGTCGCCGGGGAGGGTCGTGCCCTGCTGCATGAAACTGCGAAAAAATGACAAAAAATCGACATAATTGAAAACCTTTTTATTTATTTTGATTGGTGTAGAGTTACGCCAGCCACTCACTTGGCGACCGCCTCCGCCCAGCGAACCTTCTCTGCGGCCAGTCCGCCCACCAGCCTATTGGCCAGCTGGATAGTGCGGGTGGTAGCGTCGGCCTGCTCCTGGCAGTGGAGCTTCTCGGCCGTGGCGCGCTCGAAGTCGGCCGTAAGCGTGGCGAGCTGCTCCTCGAGTGACTGTAAAAGGGGAGAGGCAGGGCGTCAGCACAGGCTGCACGGCTTGAAAGGGCCTCCTCGTCGAAGTCAACAGTATACGTACCGCCACTTTGCGCTTGATTACGGTCAGCTTGTCCTGGGCGGCGGCGAGCTCGGCGTTGGCCGCGGCAAGCGCGCGCCGCTTGGGCTCCACGTCGCAGTACACCTCGTAGAACTTGATGATGTTGATGACCCACGCGCATAGACCTGCGAGGACAAGAGAGCTCGGTCAGGCTGTCGTTGTCGTGCTCGGACCCGGGACCCAATAAACCCGCAGACGCCTACCCGCCGCGGCCCCCGACTTGCTCCGGACGAACTCGGGCTCGAACTCGGAGTCCTTGAGGTAGGGCTGGATGGCCTTCATGATCTCGGGGTGAATGTTCTCCTTGTCGTAGTTGATGAGCGCGTCGAGGAACGCGTCGACCTTGGCCATCATGATCTTGGCCGTCTTCCAGGAGCGGTCCTTGGGGATCTTGCCGTTGGGCGCGAGCAGCACCATGACGGCGGAGGTGACGTTGGTGACGGCGCCGGGCGGCGACCCGAACGACTTGAGCTCGGTGAGGTTGGCCTTGTTGAGCGTGTCCAGCGCCTCCTGCGCCGCCACGAGGGCGGGCTCGGCCTTGACCAGGTCCTCCTCGCAGTCCGATTGCTTTTTGGCCACCTCCTTGGCGATTTCGGCGACCCGGGACTCCTCCTCGTCGGCTGCGTTCCAAAAGACGGCATGAAGGGTACGAGCAAGAACAACCAGGATCGATGAAGAGGCCACCACAATCAGCGCTGGGCCGGGAGACGCGAGGGAACGGAGGAGCGTTTGGGTGGGGCGCCTGCGGCGGTCAGGGCGGGCCGCCGGCTCCGCACAGCTGCTCGGCGGGTCGGCCTACCCCGCGCGTCGCAGGCGCTTGCAGTGGCGCGAGGCGCCCAGCGTTCCATCGCGTCGCCCCCGGCACCACGACACTTTCGAAACGTGAGGCCACCTTGAGGGAGGAGGAGTCGGCCCGAACCTACCAACGGCCTTCTCGCGGGACACCTTCTCCGTCTCGACGCCGACGATCTCGATGAGCACGTCGGCCGCCTCGTTCTTCTGCTTAAGCTCCACCTCCTGCACGGCCAGCTTGGCCTTGAGGTCGTCCACCTGCGCCGCCGTGGAGCGCAGCTTGTCCAGGCCGTTCTCCAGGCGTGCCACCTAAAGAATTAAAATATACTCTCAATAAAAAAGTGAGGTCTCAGAAAATAGATTTTCAGGGAAAAAACGGGTGGACCTTGGCCGCCAGTTCGGCGTTCTTGGTGGTGAGGAGGCGCGAGTAGAGCGAGATCTGCTCCAGGAAGCTCTTGGGCGTCGTGTAGTTGTAGCGGCGGTCCGACTGCAGGTACTGGCGGGACGCCTGGTTCACCGACGTGTGCACGTAGGCCATGAAGCGAGCCACCGAGTCCCGGAGGGGTTCCTGCGAGGGGGACGGGCAAGTCCGGAGTGAGGTAGAGGGTATTGATACCTCGACGTCTTCGATAGATCGATCTCGACTTACCGGCAGGGGCTCCAGCTCCTCCAAGAAGCGTATGGACACGGACATGAGCGCCTCCTGGGGCCACTCGTGGAACCAGTTGATGGCGGTGCAGTTGATGATGGAGGGAAACTTGCGCGCGCGGACCCGAAGGGCCGAGCCGACCGGCGAGAAGCACAGCACCACCTTTGTGCATTCGATGATGTCCAGTTATTTGAATCGGCTCGAAAAGTTCTCTTTCAAATAATTTTTTGTTTTACCTTGAGCTGCCGCCGCACGCGCTCGATGAAGAACTTCCAGCAGTTCTCCCGCGTGTCCAGCTGGCCGGAGCCCTTCACCTCGTTCCTAACGCCGGCGATGATGTTCTCCACCTCGTCGTCCGGGAACAGGTCCGGGATCTCGCCCGAGGCCAGCATGTCGTTGATGAGCACGAGGAAGTGCTCGTTGGCCACCTGCGCGTCCGTCATCAGGAACATGATGCCCACGTTCTTCAGGCCCGACTTCATGTAGAGCGCCGAGAGCTCGGTCTGCGGCGAGGCCAAGGGAGAGAGGGCGGGTTTGAGAGAGGCGGGTCGAAGCTCGGGCAAGGGGTACTTCACTCAAAAAATAAAAATCACAGTACACCCTCCAAAAAAAACCCATTAAAAATTCAGAAAAAAGAACATTGAAAAATCAATTTAGCAATCATTGTAAAATCAGAAAAAA